TAATTGCAAAATTAAATTTTAGTTTTCTAAAGATAGGTCCAAGCCCCCCCCCCAAATTCCAAAAGAAGTACAATATAAGAACTACGTTGACTTTGATTTCTTATTTTATAATATAAGGATACGTAGGCATCTTAATTAAGAGCAAATGAGCCAGCAATCGAATTGTTAATTTTGTAAAAATTAAAACACCACATTACCCACTCGACCCTAACCCACGAACCCACCCGACCCTAACCCACAAACCCACCCGACCCTAACCCATGAACCCACCCAACCCACGAACCCACCCAACCCACGAACCCACCCGACCCTAACCCACTAACCCACCTTGACCCGTCTAACCCACGAACCCAGCTCGACCCACCCACGACCCGTCTAACCCACAAACCCAGCTCGACCCACCCACGAACCCAGCTCGACCCACCCACGACCCGTATAACCCACGAACCCAGCTCGACCCACCCACGACTTGTTTAACCCACGAACCTAGCTCGACCCACCGACGACTCGTCTAACCCACCAACCTAACCCTAGTGTGTCGAACCTCTCAGACCCAACCCACGACCCGACCCACCCTACCCTACGTGTGTCGTGCCGTGTGTCATGAAACCCCAACTCGCGACCCACCTAACCCTAACCCAGCTCGCACAACTCGCACGGTGGACACCACTACCTATATTTTACCACTCTATATATAAAATCTATGTATTAAAAATCTCTTACAGTTTGGTAAAAGATTGACAAGTGATATTTTTTCCTACAATGATAGTCAATAATAGATTATGAATAGCTACAAATTATAAGCACTAGATAAAGCCCGTGCGATGTACGGTTTGTTTGTACTTTTTCAAATAAAATATTTTACTAAATATATACTTGTATTTATCTAATAAACCTTGTGATATTCGCTTGCTTACTACTTGAATTTTTTATTATAAAATGAATTATTAACTTTGTTTCTCATATTTAGATAAAATTTGTAATATAAAAAAGCAATATTTTAGTTCACAAAGTTTCATATGTGGCTGGTCACACCGTGTGGTCGGGATTACTTGGTCAGGAGTTACTTGGTTGATCAAGGGTTACTCAATCGATCAGGGGTTACTCGGACGGTCAGGGGTTACTCGGTCATTGTTTGGGTGTGTCTCAGCCGGTCACACGATATGACCAACCACACAAAAAACGCGCTGATTTTATTTATATAATTGATATAAAATTTTTGATCTAAAATAAATTGCAATCTTTTTTTTCAATGGTTAAAATATAACATTTTCCGTGTGATGCTCTAAAATAATCTTGCATGGCATAAATCTTTTGTAGTGTTTTAAAATTATTAATCCTACGTGGCGCTATTTTATTATAATCCTACGTAGCGCTTTAAAAAAAAAAACTAATCTTACGTGGCATAATCGGATTGTAGCGTTTTAAAAATATTAATCCTAAGTGGCGCTCTAATAATTTTAAAAAAATAAAATCCTACGTGGCGCTCTAAAAACTCGGGTAAAAACTCCCCTTTATATATATATATATATTAGATTCTTGACCATTTTATGAAGCTAGAAAATTTTATAAATTATATTAGTAAAAGATTTATAATATTGTATATTATAGAATAATCTATAATATCTTATATCCTCCATATTTTAGTCAAGTTTAGCTTATAGTTTTGTTAATTAATGATGTTATTGATAATATGGATTATCAATCATATATCATTCAAATATACTAATTTATATAACACGTGGTCTAAATAAGAAATTATGATAAGTGCATTTCCATATTTTTCATTACTTGAATTTGATTATTTTACATATTTATACACTTATAAAAATTGTAAATACTCATTTATAGAAGGTAATATGATTATTTTTCGTGAATCTTAGTCTAAAAACATGTAAAATTAAAAAACAGAAAAGGATATTTCACCAAAAAAAATCAATCAAAAAAATAATTGACTAGAAACTATTATCAGAATACTATACATAAAATGATATACCGCTTATTAAAAATCGATCACAAAATTATGAATTTTGATTGATTATTTGATATACTACGAATTGATTTTGATTGATTCAAAAATGTTTAATAGTAGTCTTTTGTTAAATTATGTTTTAAAATATGTAAATTGTGAGCCAATTATGTTGATATAATACTAATATCATATCTATTTTATAAAAAAATTTACATATGGTATATAATTCAATTTCAAAAACTTTCATATATGGCTGGCCACACCGTGTAGCTAGCCACATATTTTTTTTTTTTTTTTTTTTTGAAATAATGGTTAGGGTTACTTAGTCAAGGGTTACTTGCTTAATCAGGGGGTATTCGATCAGTCAGAGGTTACTCAGTCGGTCAGGGACTTAGGGTTTACTTGGTCAGAGGTTACTTGATGTGGGGTTACTCGGTCGCTCAGGGGTTACCTCACGTCAAAGGTTACTCATGTGTTAGCTCGCCACACCGTATGGCCAGCAACACACTAAAGTTGCTGATTCAATTTTTGCTATAATAATTTGTTACAAAATTCCTAAACCTGAAATCTCTTAATATTATAATAGGGTTTTAAATTTATGCTACAACTATAATCAAACCATTTATTTGACAACTAATATTACAATACACTCATGCATCATATCTACAATCTACATATTTAAGATGTGCTTATTGTTAGTTAGACCGTTAGTTCATGGAATGAATATAGGGGTAATATTATACTTGATACTACGTATACGTATCTATTATGAATTTATGAGTACTGAGTGTGCATAAGAATGATTTTAATTTATTTATCTATCATCTATAAATTTGCATAATAGACATAAATAAATGCATATAAAAAAAAAATACGAGGCACGTAAGTGTACCACCCTATAAGATAAACTATAATTCTCATTTTTAATATAGATTTTGGTACTAATTTTATATGTGTGTACAACCATCATAGGGTTACTCGGTTAATGTTATAGGGGTTACCCAGTTAGTGTTATAGTTGTTACTTTGTTAGTGTTGTACTTTGTTATTTAAGGGTTACTAAATAAGTATAATAAGACTCTGTTCACTTTATTTTAAAGATATAATATTTGGAAAAAAATAATTTCAGTTTAGTATAAATAAGTTCAATTTGGTATATTTAATTTCAATTCAGTAAAAAGCAATTACTTTAAAGAAGAAATATAATAGAGAAACAATAAATAATAATAAAAAAAATTATCAGCAAAAAAAATTTCAATTCAATAAAATTAATTTCAGTTCAGTAAAAATAATTTAAGTTCAGCAAAAATAATTTTAGTTTAGTAAAATAATTTCATTTTAGCAAATATAAGGTGAAGTGAACAGGGCTTAGAAGTTACTCTGTCAATATAATATGGGTTAGTTAGTTAGTGTCATAACTCCTTTTTTTTACAAGCGGTCACGCGGTGTGACCAACCTCACAGAAAATATGTTGTAGATTTTGTATATGTCGTCACAAGTGATATGTAAGAATGATATGCATTTTATTTTTCTTCTCTTATATGCTTTTATATTTAATTTTTTTATTTACTATTATATATATGCAATAAAAATATAAAATGATCACATATAATTCAAAAAAGACGGATAATCAAACAATTGACTAGCCATTTTGAGTTTAAAATTTTAGAAATTTTTTTATACTTCGTACTAAGCTTTAAGTTAGTGGCTTTGCAAATTTTTTAGACGGGTAAATTTTTGGTTGTAGAAGGTGCGATAGGTGTGTGGTGATGATCAAGTGAATTCATCATGTAATAAAATCAAGGTAGTAAGTGATGGGATCAAAAATCCTATTTTTAAAGTTTCATGTTAAACTTTAAGTGTTTTTAGAAGCCATAGAGGAGAAAAAAGATACGAAAATATATGTGATATACAAAGTACAATATATAATGATCATGTTATTATAATGGTAAACTTTTCCAAAAATATATTGAGTTAGAGGACGGAGATAGTCATTTAAAAGGCAAATTTTTATATGTGGCTTGCCACACTGTGTGGCAGGGGTTACTCGAGTTACTCGATCAGGGGTTACTTGAGGGGTTTAGTCAGGAGTACTTGAGGGGTTCGGTCAGGGGTTACTTGAGGGGTTCGATCATGGGTTAGTTACTCGGTCATGGGTTACTTAAGAGGTTATTCAGTCAGGGGTTACTCGAAGGGCTACTCGGCCAGGGGTTACTCGAGGGGTTACATTGTCAGGGTTTACTTTATGAGTTACTTGAGGAGTTCGGTCAGGGGTTACTCGGTCATGGGTTACTTGAGGGGTACGGTTAAGGGTTACTCGGTCATAAGTTACTTGAGGGGTTACTCGATCAGGGGTTACTCAAGTTACTCGGTCAGGGGTTTAATTTACTCGAGGTCGGGGGGGGGGGGGGGTTTGGTCAGGGGTTTCGAGTTACTCGGTCAGGGATTATTTGAGGGGTTACTCGGTCAAGAGTAACTCGAGTAACCCCTGACTAAGTAACTCGAGTAACCCCTGACTAAGTAACTCGAGTCATCCCGGCCACACGGTGTGACCAGCCACGCAAAAAATCTCCCATTTAAAAATGAGGTGGCCAGTGGCTCAAGTAAAAATGAGGGAAAAAATATGACTTAATGTGGGTATTGATTGTCACTTCATTGAGTTAAATTATTTTTCAAATCTTTCCATACAATTTAAGAATTAATAAAAGAAAAGGTTGTTTTCAAGTAATACTTCGTATATCAATATTTTGAGGGTTAAAAATATATGATTGAGACATAATTATAAGTAAATTCATTATTACTCATTAAATTATTTTATTTTAAAATTTTGTGAAATGAATATGAGTATCAAGATTTGTAAGTCGTGCATCGCACGGGTGTTATACTAATTTTGATTTAAATGAACAAACTTACCTTCTCATCATGTACTCCGTGCTATTCACCCCTAACACTCTAACATTCTCTCCTCTCAACATACTATCACGGGCCAATGGCAAGGTCATTATTGGCGAAAATTCATGTTTTATTATTTTACTATGTAATTCAATTCCCCAAGCCCCAACCCAATGGCCCGACGATCTAAATTGGGGATATTATAAATGAATTAATTAGGTATTGTTTTGTTTTGTTATGTTAGTTTACCGTGTTCAAGGAGTAATTGGGAGGAATGAATGTCTTCAAACCGGGGAAACACTAGGTAGCTTTTTCTTGATAATTTAACTCGTTGCGTTGATTATGGAAATAGTACATTTCATTATTCATTTCTTAACTCGCTCACGACCCAAGCCTAAATTTTCTTCCTTTTTATGATACTCGTCTTCCTTAACATTTCTCACTCCTAAGATCCAATGCCTTAATCTATTATCACCAACTACAGGTATTTCATATGATGCCCCCCTTTTTCTTCTTCTTCTTTTGTTTTGATCGTTTATGATATTTGATGGGTTCTAATGTAAAGTGGGTAATTACTTTCTTGCTCGAAAACTTTTCATGATTTGCTCAAAATGCTCTGTATTTGTTGATACATAAAAATGCTATGTTTGTTTGTTCCATTGGTATTTGGTACGATTGAATTGTGTGTCGGTGTGTAGTGCGAGTAAACGAGATTTGATCCGAGGTCTTGGGTACCAACCCGAAGCCTTTAATTAAATAAGTTAGCTGCTAAGTGTTGTTTATGGGATGAACATTTATTTTTGTGGTTGATTGTGAAGGAATTTTAGTTTATACGCCTTGATTGTCTAATGACATAAAATTTTTCGTTAGTGGTAGTTTGTTGTTTTTGAATTTTTGGTATATAGGGAGCCACTAAGGAGTCTCACTTCACCAACTTAGCTAGTTGGCATCCACTCGTTTAGTCGATAGTTGTGACTTATTTGATTGTTGGATACTTTTTTTTTTGATGATGCATATACTCTTCCTGACTAATTAGAGTGTCCTTATGCAAACACACCAATGTGGTTTCTTTGTTTTTCAATTTGTCTTTGGAAATGTATATTTTCAATTTTTAAGATTTATTGATTGAGAAGTAAGAATCGCCTTTGATTAAGGTCCTTTTCAGTGATTAGTGAGTTTGTTCTGACCATTTTGATAGATACTTTCCCTTTGTAGGGTTGTTAACATCATTCTAAGAAAGGCATTATTAGCTATTGAGAGGTCATGGCTCAGGGAAGGTATGCCCGAGTTGATGGGCAGAATTCTCCGAACTATTGTTTGATAATTTGTATCATGGGGTTTGTTTCAACATGTTTGCTAGCTGCTTGGATGACACTATCATCATCAATTAGCCCTGTTCGCACGGAAATATCAGTAGAGGAATTCATGGGTGGCATACCGAAGATAGTAGATGGGAGTGATGCTACGTTGCCTGTGGATGCCTTGAAAGTGAATGATGGCAGAGGCAGTGTGCAGGAAGGTAGCAATCCTAGTGTTCAAGATATAGGAAATGCATATCCCAAAGAGTCTCGGAGTATAGAAAAGGAACAAAATTCCCAAAAGGTAAAAGAAGAGTTGCTTTCTGGGGAAGGATCAGAAAACAAGGGAGCCGAAGAGCAAAAGAGTGGAGAAGATGGGACAGATGCAAGTAAGCAGAAAGAAACTACGTACAAGTTTGATGGTGTAGTCCAAACACATGGTGACAATGCTGGAACTAAGGCGAGTTCTGATAAATTAAACCAAGTAGGAGAAACAGAAATCAAAGTTGAGGAAAGTGGAGGATACCAAGACAAGGTACCAGGAGCCCAAGAAGAGATAGATGCTATGAAGAAGATGCAGGATGGAGCGATCGATCATAATGGGCAGTCTGATCAAGAAATAGATAAGGATTTAAAAGAGGATTCCAGTGTTTTACCATCACAAAATGAGTCAAAATCTGGGGCAGAGTTGTCAAATGAAACTTCACCTCAACCTCAAGCTATGCCTTGGCCAACGCAATCAGCCGAGTCAGAAAATGAAAAACTCTCACAGGAGCCGAAGCACCAAAAAGAATATAGATGGAGAGTATGTAATGTCACTGCAGGACCAGATTATATTCCTTGCCTTGATAATGTTCAAGCTCTCAAAATGCTACACACTACAGGACATTATGAGCACAGGGAACGACATTGTCCTGATGAAGCTCCTACTTGTCTTGTTCCTCTACCTAAAGGGTATAGAACCCCAGTCAAATGGCCTAAAAGCAGAGACATGGTACACTAAATGCTTGAATTGAGAAATGAAAAGAGAGATTTTAAATAATATTGTATTCTTGTTCTAATAAGTTTTATATTGGATAATCCAGATATGGTTCACAAACGTACCCCATACAAGGCTTGTTGATTACAAGGGAAAACAGAACTGGGTGAAGATTTATGATCGGTACCTTACCTTCCCTGGTGGTGGGACTCAATTTAAGTATGGCGCTCTTCATTATATTGATTATATTCAACAGGTGATTCCACATTTACATTTGTTTTTCTTGTTGCCATAGAGTCATAGACCCATAGTCATGTCTGTACCAATAACAACCCTTGTTATGTGATGTTATATGATTAAAACTTTACTTTGAATCAAATTTATTTCTGCATTAATGGACATAGCAAAAGTCAAGGAGTAGTGAAAGAAAGATGGAAAGTGAACAAGTAGTGAAAGAAAGACAGAAAAGATTGCAATATATGTAATCACTTAAGTTTGCCTTAGTCATGTCTGTACATAGCAACCCTTGTTATGTGATATTTAGATGATCAAATCATTTCTTTGAGTCAAATAAAGATAGAAATTATGCATAGGGAAACTAGGAAAGAAAGAAGGCAAAGGTTGCAATTTATTTTGTTCACTTAAGTTTTCAATTTTCTTAGCTTATGGTGTGCAATGGTATTGTTGCTCTTTTTTTAAATCTTTTAATTTTTATTTTCTTTTATTTTGAGCTTTAATCTTGGGAAATGCATTTTGTACTGCATTTGTCTGTTTTTCACATTAAAATTTCTTGCATTATGTATTCACTTTTGAAATTCAGACTCTTCCTGAAATTGCTTGGGGTAAGCGAAGCCGTGTTGTATTGGATGTTGGATGTGGTGTGGCCAGTTTTGGAGGGTATCTTTTTGACAGAGATGTACTCACTATGTCATTAGCTCCCAAGGATGAACATGAAGCTCAAGTTCAGTTCGCACTTGAAAGAGGAATACCTGCTATTTCAGCTGTAATGGGAACAAAAAGGTTACCCTATCCCTCCATGGTATTTGATGTTATCCATTGTGCTCGTTGCCGGGTCCCTTGGCATATTGAAGGTAATGTTTATCTCAGTGAACCAGGATTAAACCTTTTATGCAAACAAATTGCACCATGAAATTGTTTGGATTGACTTTAGGTGGTAAACTCCTTTTGGAACTGAATCGTCTTTTGCGACCTGGAGGCTACTTTGTGTGGTCTGCTACTCCAGTTTATCGGAAAGGTGCTGAAGATACAAGCATCTGGAAAGGTTAATTTCTTTGGATTCTTGAGTATCATCAGTGTTTAGCTATGCTTCTTTTTGGACAAACTTATTAAGTCTGTATCATGCATGCAGAGATGTCCAAGCTAACTAAGGCAATGTGCTGGGAACTTGTAAAAGTGGGGAAAGATGGAGTTAACAGAAAATCTGCAGCTATATTCAGGAAAACTAGTTCTAATGATTGCTATGAAGAAAGGCCTATAAATGATCCTCCACTTTGCGAATATTCGGATGACCCTAATGATGCTTGGTAATTTCTGCCTAACCTTTGATTATGATTTAACCTTGAAGAAACTGTGTTTTTTTCCTCTTTATTCATCATATGGTTAGTCAACCTGACAAGAAAACTCCAAGTATATATGCATAATATTTTATTGCAAATAAATGTCAATGGGAATTGGGAAGTGAACTTTGCATGTGCTTATTGCTTCTATGTTTGCATGGACACCAATTAAGAAGTAATTGGTTCTGTTCTACTCTCTTTATTTTATTTCCTAGTTATATAGTACATGTTGCAAACTTAAGTGATAACATAGCAATTTAACTTTAAGAAGTTACTTCCATAAAAATTGAATATTTCCGAAAGAAAGGAGCATTACTTGAACCAAACAAGGCCTATCTGGTTTCTGTGGTGCGGATTAATGGTAGGCCCATAGATGTGCACTTTTAGTAAATTGGGATCATCTAGATGCTGGCTTGGAGCATTTATTAGATATAAGGAGAGAGCATTTGAATTTGTTAGTTAAAGGAGCAACCTAACGTAATGCTCCCTTTTCTTTACCCTTATTTTTGCCTTTTGAGAGTCCTGGCCTAGTTGCAATTAGTTCCGTTTCCCCAACTTACCTATTCAGGATGCTAAAGGGAAGAATGTACAATGGACATACTTTTATGGCAGAAGTGTTTACTTTGCTACTACCTCCTCTTACTGAGGCATTCCTATCCTCTAAAAGAGAAGAAAATGGAAAAATTAAGAAGCGTAAAGGCACTTCCTTTTCTTTTTATGATGTTTTGGAGGATTAGTCTTTGTTGCTTGATTTATTGACCGTGTGCGTCTCAGGTATACACCACTTCAGCAGTGCATACACAAAGTGGCCAAAGATTCATCTGAACGTGGGGCTCAATGGCCAGCGCCTTGGCCATCAAGGTTGGAGAAACCTCCTTACTGGTTGAAGGGTTCTACTGTTGGAAATTCTCCCAAGGACTTCATTGATGACCATAACCACTGGAAACATGAAATTACCAATACATATATGAAAAGGATTGGAATTGACTGGTCGTTGGTTAGAAATGTCATGGACATGAGAGCATCATATGGAGGGTAAGATTTCAAATTATATTTTCCACTTAGCTAGTTTGTCATTGATATTTCCATCCTTGTCAACACCCTTGTCCCACGGAAAAGAGATTAAAAAAAAAAAAAAAAAAAAAAAAAAAAAAAAACAGAACCGGCATGAAAACGTGTGGACTACTTGAATAGGTAACTCTGATAGGTAAAGTCAAGCTCAAGACTAAATAAATACAATGAATTATTACTGAATTACTGATTTTAGAAGCTATGGTTATGCTGCTATTATTCTCTTTGGCTATTGTAACACAAACATGCACAGATTCACTGTCACGGTGAGTAGGCCTCTTTACGGCATAAGCAACCTTCATAGTAGATCCTTAATTACTTGTGCTTTCTTGGACAAGGCTGATTCTCAATTTGTATATAATTGATGTGAAAGTCATATGTTTTTTTTACCCTTTGAAATAGCCTCTTAGTAGGCGTGATTAACCCTGCCATTCGAGTAAAAGAAACTAGCCTACTTCTCGAACTCCGCTTTAAATCTCTCTCTTCAACAGATTTGCTGCAGCTTTGAAGGATTTGAAACTGTGGGTGATGAATGTAGTTCCTGTCAATTCATCAGACACTCTTCCTATAATATATGAGCGTGGCCTATTCGGAATATATCATGACTGGTGTGAATCATTTAGCACCTACCCAAGATCTTATGATCTCCTTCATGCAGATCACCTCTTCTCTGATCTTGCAAAAAGGTTTGGAAATCAAATGCTAATAGTTTATTTATGTAAATCATTATATAGCTCTTCGATAATTTTACCATAGTACTTTTGTTCCTGTGACAGATGCAACATTGTTTCAGTGATGGCAGAAGTAGATAGAATTTTGAGGCCAGGGGGTAGGTTAATAGTAAGGGACAATGCCGAGACCATGTCCGAGGTAAGAAACATAGCTAAATCGCTTCACTGGAAGATCACTCATTACAATGATAACAACGAACTAGTCTGTATTATGAAGACGTTGTGGCGTCCCTCAGAAGTAGAAACAATTGCTGGTGCCATAGCTTGACCTGTTGAATCATCAGTCCTCAAACAATACAACAGTAGAATGAATTTTGCATTGCTGAGATAAGTTTATTCTTTTACTTGTAATATTCAGCTTCATCAACTTTTAATGATGCAGCTGTTTTTTTTATAGCTAGCATTTTTCTTTTCACTTCACCGCTACTGTATTACGAGTAATTGTTTATTGTATGATACGTACATTTCCTTTTATATTTATATGGAGTACAAAAAAAGCAAATGTGGGCTATAAAATTTATACTGTATTATAAATTTATACGGAGTACTGTAAAAGCAAAAGCCCTTTAAAAAGGCAAAATTTTGTGCAAGTTTTTTTTTAAAATTCCAATATTACCCCTCCCGTTGATTGTTCATTGCCAGACAATTTTCTCTGAAGTTATGCCAGACATAATTGTTGACTTTGTAACTTCCACTCGTATTCCCGGAGCTTTGTCAGATCATATTTATTTTTTCAATTAATTTTAGAAAAATGCTATACATAACCCTTTAGGAAGGACTATATATAAGCATTAAATACACACTAGAAAATCGTATAAAGTTAGAAAATCCTAAAAATATAAACACTAATTATACTATTTTACGCTTGTTTTTGTCGTGAATTTCTAATTTTATACATTTTTTAAGAGTGTATTTAATGCTTATATGTAGCCCTAAGCATTACATATAGCATTATCCTTAATTTTAACTTTATAATTTGTATTATACTTAAATTTTATATACTAGATTTTTCATTCCATTAAAATCTACACCAATATTTCTCTTTTTTTTTTTTTAAATATGAGCTAGTGGCATTTTTTTTAAATATGAGCTAGTGTATATTTCGGATGATTAGTAAGGAAATAAAAAAATTAATGCCATGACATAATAAGTAATTACATGACATTTGAAAAAAAAAATATAGCATAAGATGATATAAATTCTACAAGGAATTAGATTAAGGATGTCTATGATACTTTTTTTGTTAATATCAGAGAAAGTTTAGAATGTTTAACTACTTGTTTAAATCTTTAGACATACATTTATCATCATTTAATTTTTGCAATATTATAACAATGTTATATTGGATTGGTGGGTAAACTTTCATCGACATACAATTTAAATAAGGACCTAACAATTTATTAATATTTGCAAACAAATGTAATGTACAGAAATTTGTATCACATGACAAAATTTCTACTTGTACCTATTGATATAATTTGTATGTAGTTTAGGAAAGTAGTTAATTACAAATTTGTGTTATACAATAACGAAAAAATTAATCACTTTAATCGAACACAACCTTAATCTATTTGGAATTAATCCTATTTTTGACTCAGTCGCTTATTAATCTACAATTGATAGCATACACATACCCATCAAATCATTAAAAATTAAAAAATCTCTCTAGATCTCACTTCCTTAGATAGTTTGATAAATTGGCTTAGGAAACAAGATACGACATGTGTATTGAATTTTTGCAAGTGTACGATACAATAAATTATAAAACCTTGATTTAAGGTTCATTATAATAATACAAAATCAAACTTGATTAATAAAGTAATTAGGAATGAATCATTCCAAAACCCGCTGTAAAGGCAGTCGGTAGTAGTCGGCAGTCGACAGTAAAGAGTGAACCCCATCACTCACTCTCTCTCCTCTCTTCTCATCTCCACCATTAAAACCCCTTTAAATTCTTCACTGTTTCAGCTCCAAATTTTGAGCTTTCTCAACTTGGTACATTTCTTGTCTCTCTTTCTTTAACCCATTTTCATTTTTTTTGGATCTTGGTAATTCTTCTTGTTTTTTGAGGCTTTTGGGTTCTTTATTCTGCTAGTTTGTAGTTTTTAATTTGATTGTTTGCTTTAATTTAGTTTTTTTTTTATTTTTTTTTTATTGAGGGATTAATCTTGTTGTATGAAGAAAGATCAATGCTATTATAATTTGGTGTTTAAAGTTTGCGATTTGAATTGTGATTTTAGTGTAATTTTTTTATTTTTTATTTTTATTTTTATGTGGATCGATGCTGGGTTGTTTAATAATGATTGAAAATTTTTGTGGGTTGTAATTTTTTTTTGAATTTTATTTAGTTATGATTGAGTTTTTGTTCATTGCTTTCATGGGTTTTTGTAATTATTTCGAATGTGAACGTAGATATTGCTTTTTCTTGGTAGGGTTCTGATTGGTTTTCCTAAGATATAGAATTTGATTTTGATTTGCAATTTTGCTTACTGGGTTGATTGAGTTCTTTGTGATTTCTATTGTCAGTATTACAAGATAAATTTGAGAGGGTGGTTGCGGTTTGGGTAAAAGGATGGCGTCGGGAAGGTATACTCGCATTGATGCGAGGGGAAAGTCGTCGAACTACTGTTCGACCATTGTTGTTGTTGTGATTGTGGCAGCATGTTTAGTCGGGGCCTGGATCACGATGTCCTCATCGGTAGACCCTACTGGTTATGTTGGTATGTCTGTAGGAAAGGATGCCAAGCAACATATAGCGAGTGAAAAAAGTTCTAGGGAGTTTGAGGATAATTCAGGCGACTTGCCTGAGGACAGCCTTAAGGGGAATATCGAACAGGCCAGTGAGAGGGATGAGAGTGACTCGAAGTCACAAGAAAATGAAAATGTAGTCCAAGAGTCTGAGAACTCGGGTGAATCGGGTCAGCAGGAGAAGCCAGAGAAATCGGGTTCTGATGAGGATGAGAGGGTTGATGCCAATAAGGAAAAAGAAGTTGAGTCTGCAAAGGATGAAGATGTCAAAAACGCGGAAGAAGACTCAAATACCGGAGGAGATGAGACAACTGAAAAAATTAAACAAGAATCTGAGGAAAATAATGATGACAGTAAAATCAAAACTGATGAAGCTGAAGAGAAATCTGAATCAGAGGAGAGTTCTGAAGGTGCAAAGGAAAAGACAGATGACAGTAAACTCAAAACTGACGAAGCTGAAGAGAAATCTGGATCTGAGGAGAGTTCTGAAGGTGCAAATGAAAAGATAGAGGAAGTGAAGGATGAAACTGATAGTCAAAGCCAGGAGCAAGTTAGTACAGAAAGTGAGTCCAAGGACAAAGCAGAGTTACTTGATGAAACTTCCACTCAGACCGGGGCTTGGTCAACTCAAAAAGCTGAGTCAGAAAAACAGAAAGTCTCTGAGAAATCCTCAGACTCATCGTCTGAGGACCAAAAGGCCTACAAATGGAAACTCTGTAATGTCACTGCTGGGCCAGATTATATTCCTTGCCTTGACAACATTCAAGCTATCAAAAGGCTTCCCAGTACAGGTCATTATGAACACCGAGAGAGGCACTGCCCTGAGGAAGCTCCCACATGCCTTGTTCCTCTGCCTGAGGGGTATAAAACTTCAGTGAGGTGGCCTAAAAGCAGGGAGAAGGTACACAAAGTGCTTTGAAATAAAGAAGTAAAGAAATGACTGCATTGGGTCAGTCTTAGTTTTGTGCTGATTATAATACGTTGTTGTGTTTGTTTATGCAGATATGGTTTGCCAATGTTCCCCATCTCAAGCTTGCAGAAGTGAAGGGACATCAGAATTGGGTACAGGCTTCTGGGGAGTATATCACATTTCCTGGTGGTGGGACTCAATTTGTGCATGGTGCTACACGCTACATTGATTTCATTGAAAAGGTTATCCTTTACTGCATTTTTTTTCCGCTGATTATCCTTCATCTGTATTGATGAAGTAGCATCATTGCTGATGCGTTTTCCTCATTTTTTATGCTTGCGATGTTCAAAAAGGTGAACAGCTATTTTGCTAATGTCTGCATTCACAAGTATATGAAACCTACTGATAATTTTTGTTCTAAAAAAGAAGGAATAAAAAGAAGAATTAGTTATTCATATAGCTGGTGCCTAGTCCCTCACTCAGAAGTCATGAGTGGCTCTTTAACCTGAAGGGTTATGTATTTTATGTCTGGTTGTGCTGCATTGCCTGCATGCTTGGCAACCCATTGAGGTTTAAGTATATTTCTTGTTGTTTCTCTAGCCCTTCTTTTTACTAGGTAATTTCCTTCCGGTATCGAGTTTGAGGTGGTGCAATAGTGGTATCACTCCCCACCTTAGATTCCTGTGGTCTAAGGATCAAATCTTGCGGGGTTATCTCTCCACCAGCCCCCCTCCCTCCTGTTATTATATTTCCGTCCTGCTTATCTCAACCAAGATTATGCTCTTTCTTCATTACCAGTTTATACTACTATTGTTGCGCATTCTACAGTGGTAGGAACATTTGGGAGTGACTTTGTTACCTGCTTATGCTGAGTGCTGGAAACACTTGAATTGTTTCTCTTTGTCACATCTGATCAAGACTTCTTCTGTTCTCCTATATCTTATTCTTGATCTGCTTAATTTTGGCAATATAGGTGTCCCGTGTTTCTGTGATACTGTGTGTCACTGACTTGTCATATAATCATTGATGGAATATGTGTTCTAATCTTTACCGTTACTACTTTTTCGTGGGATTTATTTGGTTGCCTTTTCTTGATGTTCAAAAAAAATCCAAAATTGATGTTGCTAGCTCGGCACTTGGTTTTATTTGTCTAATTTTACTGCAACTCAGTGGACCTTTCTTTTTTCTTTTATTTTCAGACTCTTCCTGATATTGCCTGGGGGAGGCGAAGTCGTGTTGTTTTGGATGTAGGATGCGGTGTAGCTAGTTTTGGAGGATTTCTTTTTGACAAGGATGTACTCACTTTGTCACTGGCTCCCAAAGATGAACATGAAGCCCAAGTGCAATTTGCTCTTGAAAGAGGAATACCAGCTATATCTGCTGTCATGGGTACAAAGAGATTACCCTTCCCCAGCAACGCCTTTGATATCGTTCATTGTGCACGCTGCAGGGTCCCTTGGCATGCAGAAGGTGTTTTACACATCACCATGAACTACAACTTTTAAAAAATTTAATTTAGTTTCGTATCTAATGTTAATATACTTGATAGGTGGTAAACTGCTTTTGGAACTTAATCGTGTCTTGCGCCCGGGAAGCTACTTTGTATGGTCTGCCACTCCAGTTTACCGTAAAGATGATGAGAATGTGGCCATTTGGAAAGGTGCATTATATAACAGTTTTTTTTACTTCATCATTCTATTAGTCTTGCAATTATTGGCATGGAACTGATCTGAATTCCATGTACTGTATTCACAGCTATGTCCAAGCTAACTAAGTCAATGTGCTGGGAGCTTCTGAAAATCGGGAAAGATACTGTAAATGGAGTATCTGCAGCAATATATCGTAAACCTATGTCCAATGATTGCTATGAGAATAGAATGAAGAGTGAGCCTCCACTTTGTCAAGAATCTGATAACCCAAATGCAGCCTGGTAATCTTTGCTTTGTCTTTGATTATGTGAAATAGATGTTAAAGCACATGATAAATATGCCACTTATGTCAAAGCAACATGCGTAAAATAAACCTGAACTACTCCAGTCATTGGCTTCCTGTAACCCCATTTGAGAGTTGTGACTGGTAGAGGAACCCACGGACAACATTTTATGGTAAGCTCATCCACCCATGGAGATCATTGTTTTGACCAGGAAGTGGAGCAGGGAAAGGTGTGAGAGATAGATATAAGTATTTTTTTTATTTTTATTTTTATCACAGTGAGGTAAAACATTCAAACCATAAACCTAGGGCTTAAAACGTCAAACAGTTTTCGGCTTATGAGTGCTAAAAAACAGGAGTAAACTATTTGCATATCACAGATGGGTTTTTCATACTGATTTACTATGCCCACCAGATATTGCATTATTTTCACTGCAAAGGCTGTGATGGTTCAATTGTGGTTAGTAGTTGTTGTGTCTCTTATTACTGAGCACTTTTTGCTGAGCTATGAATTAAGACTTGGTACAAATTCTCTATACTCACTCGCCTCTGGTTACGGCATGTTAGTGCTACACGCCTACATCCCTGCTGCAGGAGGGTGGTGGTGGGCAGTGGGGAGGATATGGTGGTAAATGAATGGGTATTTTACAACTGTGCGTGATTGTGTATCTATTTTTTTTCATCCTTTTTTTTCTGTGGCCCTTTGAAGTTGATGTATTTGATATTCATTATCGAAATTTCTTTTTTCAGGGATATACCAATGGAGGCATGTTTACACAAAGTGCCAACAGATCCATCGGAACGTGGATCTCAATTGCCTGCTAAGTGGCCATCAAGGCTGGATAAAACTCCTTACTGGTTAAAAGAGACTGAAGCTGGGGTTTATGGCAAAGCAGCTCCAAAGGATTTCATTGCTGACAATAAGCACTGGAAACGTGTTGTTGCTGATTCTTACATGGATGGTATTGGCATCGATTGGTCTTCGGTGAGAAATGTGATGGACATGAGAGCTATATATGGAGGGTAAGCTCTTGTTACTTTACGTACTTTAAACTCCATATATTCTCTGTATTTGATAATTTGCTTGAAGCATGCAATATGGAGTAAGAATTACTTGTATTAGTTAAAAATTGAAAATCAGGAGAGTAGAAGTTAGTTGAAGTTTGAAAAACATTAATTTGACTACAACACCTTACATTGAACGTTCAAAATGTTGAACAGATAAAATGGTATAACAAACCTATTGTTGCATTGTAATTTGTTATTCACACGCGAGTGTTGCTCTCTCTCAGCATTTTGTTTTCTCCTTAAGTTCATATACATCTGGGTTGTATTGACTTGTGAATGTTATCATTATACTGCTATATGAGGATGCATTTAGCCAGTTAATCAATTTTTTTCTTTTTTCCTTTTTTTTTTCTTCTCTGATTTGCAATTTTCTTCCAGATTTGCTGCAGCTTTGAAGGACCTGAAACTTTGGGTTATGAATGTAGTTCCTGTCACCTCACCAGACACCCTGCCGGTTATCTATGAACGAGGTTTATTTGGTATATATCATAATTGGTGTGAGTCATTCAATACCTACCCAAGAACATATGATCTTCTTCATGCTGATCATCTCTTCTCAGATCTCAAGAAAAGGTTGGCCATCTTCAAATATTGCTGAAGATCCATTATATTATAAGTGTTTTTATCTGCTTTAATTTGTAATGATCAACTTTTTTGCTCAGGTGTAATCTTAAGGCAGTTATGGCAGAAGTAGACAGAATTCTAAGGCCAGAAGGAAGTTTGATTGTAAGAGACAATGCCGAAACCATAGCTGAGGTGGAGAGCATGGCGAAATCCCTACACTGGAAGATCAAATTTACGTTCTCAAAAGACAATGAAGGATTACTTAGTGTTCGGAAGACAAGATGGCGTCCCTCTGAAGTAGAAACTATTAGGTCAGCCATAGCTTAGCTTCCAATGGCCGGGTTATCATAGCTTGGGAAAATACGCTGTTTCGGAATGGGTATCTATATTCTTTTATTGATTTAGCAGCACTGGTTCTCAAGAATGCGGAGGTTATATATGTGTAGCAATCTTATACAGTAGTCGTCTAAAAAGATAGCACAATTATCCAAGTAAGTATTTTTCATGGTTGATTTACTTGATAGTTTGTATTCCACTAATCCACTTAACCCTATAAAAATTGAGGGAAGTGGACTTAGTAATTTTTATGTTTTGACCCTAAGACAAATAATGCTTAAAATAGTAAAAGTTCATTATCTTTTGTTCCTTATCTTGGTAGTCTTGAGTTTGTTACTGTTTGGCAACAACTTTTAAAGCTAAAAAGTTTTGACTTGTAAAGTTGAAAAATAGTGTTTGATAAAATAGTGGTTAGCTTAGACCACCTATTAGAACCTGGGCATCGTGCCGGGCCGTGCTGCCGCGGGCCGTGCTTGGCGGGCCACGGGCTCCGGCGTGCCGTGCCGGTCGTGCCTGCGTGCCCAGGAATTCGTGCCGTGCCGTGCCGGCGATTCTCGCCAGCCCACGGCACGGCACGGCCCTCGTGCCTGGCGGGCTCGTGCCGTGCGGGCTGGCCTGCGGGCTGGTGGCAGTTTCCAATTTTATTTTTTTATTTTTATTTTTATTTTTATTTTTTTTTTTAAGTGACAACATTATAACTTATAATTATAAGTATTATAATGTATATAAGTTGTATAATGTATTATAATGTATAATTATAAGTATTATAATGTATATAAGTTATAAGAATTATAATGTATATAAGTTATAAAATTATAATTATAAGTTTTATAAGGTTATAAACTTATAACTTATAAGTTTATAACTTATAAGTTATTAAGTTATGAATTTTATAATTATAAGTTGAATATTTATGTTTATAATTTTGTATATTCAATATTTATATTTATATATTTACTTTATACTATTACTTTAAAATTTAATGTTTATGATTTATTAAATATAATTTTGTATTAGTAATTGGTATAATTTTATTTTTTTAATATGAATTTACAAATTGTAACAAAACGGTGAAAAAGGCAAATTAGACTTTGGATGTGAATACTGCGTACTTTATATTATTATTACTTGAGTTGAGAAAATTGTACAATGATAACAATGATAAAAATCATACAATGATGGTATTAAACAAAAATTGGAAAATGATAAAATTGATATTTGATAATGATTAAAATCGTACAATATACAATAATTGTCTATTCTTCTTTCTCCTTCTTCTTGCTCGTCTTCGTCTTCGCCTTCGCCTTCAAGGTCATCGGCTAGTTGCATAGATTGAGAACTAGCCGAACCCGAACCGGAAGCGGAGGTTCCTTCTTCGTTGTCGTTGTGGTCGTAAGAACGGTCTTGTGAGCGATTTTCCGCATCCAACCAATCTTTGAAACACACGCACATTTCTAGTGTTTCGGGTTTTAGACTTGTTCTTCTATCGTCTAAAACCCTTCCGGATGCGCTGAAAGCTCGTTCGGAGGCGACGGAGGAAACTTGGATAGCAAAAATGTCTCGTGCCATTGCCGCCAAAGTTGGATGCTTCGAGCCCTGTTGTTTCCACCATGCAAGGAGGTCGAGGCTGTTTATCTCATCGTCGTCCATGCCTTTGGTGAAGTCGTAACTCAGGTACATCTGCAACTCCGAGACGTCGCTTTGCGTTCTCCTGATTGATGAATCACCTGAAAACCTTGAAATCAAGTTAGTAGCTTGTGAAAATAAATGTTTGGCCTTCTTACTTACGTTTTTGGATGGTTGGGAAGGCCCTGAGCGAGGAACGGTGCCATATTTGGCTTCATAGACTCTATATAAAGCAAAAAACTGATCCTTCACATTAGTCTTATAGTTTTCTACATCATCGTCAAGAAACATGCATTGAAAGTAAATGTCAACTAACATAAATGTGTTTTCATACTTTTGCCTAGGATCTAATATGGAAGCAAAAAAATAAATCAAAGGAATTTCACTATAATATTTACGCCACTTTGTTTCCATTGCTGGAAGATACTGATCATAATCACTTTGATGGCGAAGATCAGCGAAAAGTTGGGCGAGTAAGCATGCATTAGAAAGAAAGTTTTGAGCACAAGGATTGTAAACAGTAGAAAAACAATACGTCATATTATATAATAACTGTAAAAATTGCATATATCTTTCACAGTTATTCCAATCATCATCATACAAAGCATTTTGTGGAAATTTTTGGTTGTAAAATAATGTTAACGGGCCCTTGTACTCAATTGCCTTTGTTAACATGTCATAGGTGAAATTCCACCTAGTTGGGCAATCGGTTCTAATTTTTATTACCCTTATCTTTTGTTGTTTTAGAAAACTCTTCCATTCTTGGTATCTCATGTTAGAGCTATTAATAGACATAATAGCATCTCTGATTTTGCTGTAGTATGGGCCAATTGCCCGAACTCCATCCTGTACACATAAGTTAAGTACATGGCAAACACATCTAGTATGAAGAGCTTCACCGTCTAATAGGACATCGGTTAAGTTTTGTTTGATAAGATTAGCTGTGTATGTCATAGAGGTTGCATTATCAAAAGTCATAGATATCATTTTATCTCGAAGGTTGTATTCGTCTATTGCTTGCATTAAATGGTGAGCAATGTTAATGCCGGTGTGTGGGTATTCCAGCATTTTGAAATGTATTTTTTTTTTTTGTAACAACCATTGATCATCTACCCAATGGCAAGTCACACATAAATAGTGATATTTATAACCACTATCCCAAGAATCGGCTGTTAAAGATACTCTACAGTTAAGGTTACTCAATTCGGCTTGTAACCGGACTTTGTACTCTAGGAAATTTTTCATTGCGGCGGAACGAACGGTTTTCCTAGAGATTCTTTTATGTTGAGGTTGCAGTGCTTTGTTAATGTAGGTGTTGAATGCGTCACTTTCCGAGAAAAGAAAAGATTGTTCGGCGTGTACTATCATTTTTCCTAGTTCATCCCTATCCCTCTCATAGTTGTATGTAAAGCCGTATGGATGGAATTGGGAAATTTTGGGCTGGGTTGGATCACTAGCTGGTTTTGCACAAGCTTTTATGTGTCTAGTTAAGTGTCTCGTCCCGTTTTTGGTAATTGCCGTGAATACACCATTACATGTTTTACATTTTGCATATTTTTTACCCTCTCTATCTAGGACAAAATAACGCCATACCTCACTCCTTCGGTTTTTCAAAAGTACCATCTCACTTTCGGTTAACCATCATGATGTGTGTCTGCGTTAGTAGTGGCAGTAGAAGGGGTAGAACCGGAGGGAATTCGGGTACTTTCTTGGCTACCTTGGCTAGAACAATAGTTTTGTTGATCACCGATATAATTAGGTGGGAATTGATCGAATTGTGGGAATTGTTGTGGATTTTGATATTGGTTTGATGGAGGAAATTGGTTTGGTGGTGGTGGTGGTGGTGGAAATTGGTTTAGTGGTGGTGCTGGAAATCCCGACATATTATATGGCTCATAGCCCGGGGGGAAGTAAATGGGGTCATTGGCTTGACTCGAAATTTGGGGGCTTGTTGTATTTGGTGGTTACCTAGAACTACTACTACGGGTAAGTCGGCCTTTCGCCCTAGACCTAGATGATGGGTTGTTCGATGCCATAATTAACAATTAATTTTTTAATAAAAAGTGGTTAACTATAATAATAATAATTAATAACAACAATTTTAACAATAAAAATATCAATAATAATAATTAATAACAACAACTATAACAATAACAATAACAACAAAAATAAATAATAACAACAATTGTAACAATAATAATAATTAATAACAACAATTATAACAACAACAATAACAATTAACAACAATAATAATTAAACAAGTATTCTAATAATAACAATAAAACAATAATAAATTTTTAGATTAGTTTAGATCTTACAACCGTGCTTCAACGCTCCACTAATTACGATTACGAACTTTTTAATTTTTTCCGATATTAGGAAAATAATTAGAGAATTTAAGAGAATAATTAGAGAATTTAAGAAAATAAGGATATTAGAGATTTAGAGAATATAAAAGTAAGAAGAAGAGATTGGGATTTTGTGATTTGGGAATGAAATGGAGGTGGGTATTTATAGAATTTTTGGGGAGCAAATTGGCAAAAATATAGTCGTTAAGTAGCCGTTTTTTTGGCTAATTAAGCAACTAGCCGTTGCTTTTAAACGGTAACATGACCGTTGGCCCGCGGGCCGTGCCTGGTAATTCATAACCCTGTCCGTGGCACGACCCGTGGCACGAAGTTCAACTTTCGTGCCGTGCCGGGCTGGAGTTCAGGCCGTGCCGGGGTGCGTCGAACGGCGGGCCGTGCCGGGCGGCACGCGGGCCAACCCGGCCCGTTCCCAGGTTTACCTATTAGGGATGGCAATGCGACGGGTCGGATGCAGAGAATGGTACTTTCATACCCATCCCTACTTAAAAATCTTATATTCATACCTGCCCCACCACTCATGGCGGGTACAATACCCACATCCATACTCGTTTTGCCGGATAAATTTAATATTATCTCCATCCCACTATCCATTTGGATATCCATACCCACCTTAAACTCGCCCCGCCATCCATTTGATATCCATACCCACCTCAAACCCGCCCCACGCCCACCCCAAGCCCGCTATCATAATGCCATATTATATCACAATAGTATGAAGAATTATCATTTCTAACAAATCTTTGTTTTCATTCATTTGGTGGAATTCTGAAATTTGTTATATACCTCTGAGTGTACCGTATACCGAACTAACCTAAGGTTAGTATTTTTTTTTTCATTTGATGATTAAATGAAAAAAAATCATGAAAATGAGAACAAAATACCCATGGGTGTACGGTGCACCCGGGTGTATATAACAATCTCTTGTGGAATTCACATAGCGTTAATGTCATTAATTTATTTTATTTTTATTATATTATTATAGTATCTAAATTCTACACTCTTCTAAGCTTGTTTCATCCTTTACAAAAATTAGTATAAGACAAATAATTGACGGGTGATGGGGCGGGGCGGGGATGAAGTATCCATACCCGCCCCATCATTCGTGGCGGGTACACTTTTTATACCCATCCCCGCCCCATCACCAGCCAAATCTGGGCGAGTCTCCTATTTGACCCGACCCACTGCCATTGGTGGCACCAATTTAAGAAAAACTAACTTAACTTCGAAGACAAGCAAATGAATGTATCCATTCAAAAAAAATAAAAATTGAATGTATTAGGAGCATTGGATAAGATGATTATGACTAAAAATATAAATA